GGTTTCTTTCTCTGTTGTGATTTTCTCAACGTAGTCTTCCTAAATATATCTCTAGGGTCAAGTCTAATCTCTGATGCTTTCTTCATGTTGTTCACGTCCAATACGTTTGCTGGCGAGAGTAAAACTGTTTGTCGGGCTACACTACTGTAGAGTTTATACTGTCTTACACGTGCAGGGAATCTTGGAAGACACTCTTTTCTCCACAGCACACTTGTGAGTATGTTAAAAAAGCGATCAGTATATGTATTTTAATTTGGTTTTACAATACACACTGGTAAATAATCCTTGATGGTCTTCACCTTTGGCTTCCACAGGCAGCAGGCCCAGTAACCCATGCTTATCGGCGACTGACGGGGATCGGTTGGTCAGTCCCGCCTCTCTGAAATAACTCCCTTTAAAAATAACAAATGTACAACACATCTTCCCTAACATATCATAAATACGGGAGACTGGTCACACAATTTATGAATGGGAAGCTTCAGGCGAGGCTGTTATGGTCACATTAATTGTAAGGCCGGGGTAGTGTATGTTGACATTGTTATGGGCGGCCGGTCGCTTAGTCTCTCTGCTATACATTAGCTCGTTCTTGCGCGCTAAACGTAAACTGCTAGCTTGCGTAGTCTTATCTATTTTGTCTATATTTTTTCTATACAGGTTGTCTAACGTTCATGGTGTACAACGTGTAGACCGTATAAGATGGATTTGATCCAGCTAGACATACATTTTTTTTTTTTCCCCCTCCCCTACAGTACCCGGCGTATATCGTGTTGACACAACCCATCTCTATTGTGGTACTTGTACTTTCAACACACACACACCCTGCATTCATCAAACCAGATCGCACGCTCTCGCGAGCGCGGGTTAAACGACGAGGCCACGTCAGTTGTCAAGCGCGCTCAATTCAAACTGGGCTGACGGGTACGGTCTGTCTATTCAAGGCAGCACGCTATACACATAGCTCTATTCATAACCTTTTTACTTTTGTTTTCTTATGAATTCTTTTCTGTCTTATAAACACACACCTTTCATTCCCTCCCCTCACCTGTAACGCGCTGTTGATGCATGAGTCATCCTATTCGATCACGTGACTTGGATCAGCCAATCACCTTCGCATCCGCCTGGATCAACCGGATCAACCAAAATGGCCTTCTGCGCCCTCACTATATACTACTCCCGTGAGTGGTCTCTGACTCCTTTAAGATGCTGATAGCCCCTTGCTGAACTTGTGTAATCTTGGGTCGATGTCTGTGAGACCGGCTAGTTCGACTGGATTCGATCTGGTCGTATCTTTGATCTTCTGTAGTTCTAACTCGTTGTCCATTGGGCAAGCGATGTCGGTAGGGTCTGAAGGCATTTCCGGTGGTATCCCCTTCGGGGACTGCTTCTGCTTCCTCCTCTGCGAATCTTTAGCAGGAACTGTGCTGATATCCAGTCTTGTGCTGATTGAAGATCTTCCTGCATCTTCAGTATGTGTTCCAGTGAGCTGTGGATGAATCCGGTCTGTTGTAGTGTCATCTCCGTGGGGTGTCTAAGTGTAGGCCTACGTTCTGATTGTTCGGAGTATGACGTGGAGAATTGCAGCTGCAATCCAGTTAATGTATGAACTGAAATTAATCATCTGTTTGTTGACATAATCTAAGTCCCTGATTATGGCCATGTCAACGTGCATTTTAGAGTTAGTTTCTTAACCAGATAGTAGAAAAGTTCAACGATGCTCGGCTGTTGTGCGCAGGGGCAACTTGTGTCGTGTAATCAATCTTATTAATGGCAGGCATACCCAGTCTAACATTAAGTGCCGAATGTAGCATTTAATGATTATTCGATTCTTGATGACGTCATCAATATATGACGAACAGGGAAGGGTAAGGAATTCTAGATTCAACTGACCGGTACCTCCTACCCGTCACGTTCTAACAAGGTCATCTGGTATTTTGTCCTTGTATCTGTTTTAAAGGGCGGGCATTAGATTTATAGAGTTCTGCAATGATATCTTAATGGCATAATTATTTGGTATATAATTAACCTCCGTAGTAGAATCCCCACTGTATAAAAACCAGTATTAGCAATAGATCCGCACCCCCTACTCGGGCTGTGCTGAGACTGGGTCATATGGCCGAGGGTAGCGTAATCCCGGTCGTCTGATCTACGGTTGGCCGTGCGGGAATCACGTGTTCTATAACTGTGTGATAGTGACGTAACATCTCCCTCGCTTTCTCCGCCCGTGTAATAATAATCAGATACAGCGTAGGCTCGCATTGTCTGCTGTATGAGGAAGTACTGCCATATTCAGCCTTAGATCTCACTTAATCTCGTGTTTATCAATCCCCGTTTGGTCATGCCGGGTTTGTGCAATCAATTCTTTTAGAGTTTATTCCTGAGCCATTGACTGCGTGCGCCTTTATCAATTATTACAACATTGAGTTGGTTAATTTCTCCGAATCCCTTAAGTTAAAAACCTGTGAGGTACATCTGCTCCTCAACTTTATTGGGAGATCCTTAGGTCTCTTGAATCTCATGATCGACCCCTGTTGGCCAAGCCCGGGTTGTTCGACAGATTCTTTTGGATATGAGATTTCCTGAGACATTGATTGCATGCGCTTTTATCAATCTGATCGACCCCTGTATGGCCAAGCCGGTTGTGCGACAGATTTTTTTAAGATATGAGATTTTCTGAGACATTGATTGCATGCGCTTTTATCAATCTGATCGACCCCTGTATGGCCAAGCCGGTGTCATAGATTGCATGCGTGTGTCAATCATAACAGACATTGAATTTGTTATTCTTTCCGTGAACTCATTTAAGTTAAGGGAACGCGGCAGAGGGTGAAAATCGTTAGTTTCTGTCCAAACTCGATGATCGACCGTACCAGACGTTGCCGGATGCAAGTTAGAGGCACTTTCTTTTTGACCGGTAAAATGCATCTGCTCCTCAACTTTTGGGAGAATGGGATGAGCGACGGGTTCTCTTCTCCTCATAAGGTGAGACGGCGCCCTCGCGCGACACTCGCTTGTACCCACGTGATTAATATGGCCACCAAGGGCTTAATCACTTGTTTTTCAGGGATGTGAGCAGGTTTTCACGAAAAAAGAGGAAAAGTCTAGGGGGGCTCTGGGGGCATGCCCCCCCCCAGAAATTTTTAAAACATTTGATTGCATTTTAAGCAATTTCGTGCAGTTTGAACAACATTCACACCAAGAAATGTAATAAGTCAATGGCAAAAGTCAATAAGTCAAATAAACAAGATGACAGATGCAGTAAAATTTCGAAGTTAAATCAGTACTTTTAAAAAATCGGGCATAGCTTACGCGCACCTGGCTACCCGCCAGGTCTGGGAGCAATACTGCCATAAACTTCAACCCCCATCCCCCAGACACAAGGACAACTGTCACAAGCGTGCAATGTCTGACCCTTTCCCCATGTTGAAGCATATTGAAAAAAACTTACCTTGTACTTACCTTTTGATGAAAAAACAAAACTCCATTGCAAACATAAGACATTAATACAACATATATCCCAATGTTATGGGGTTTTGGACGCTGAAGAAATATTCATAGTTTTCTCGCTAATCACATGAACTGTAAAACATCTCATTCACTTACAGGCTAAAAGACAACTTTATCTTAAAAACAAGCCATCATCTGACTCAGAGTATTTACAATTTCTGTGTGACGCCACACCCCACGTTATAGTGCAAGTATTCGTGATAGAAAACGTATGATGTCCGAAAACCTATGCTGGTGAAAGCTCTGATCGAAAACTGGACAATCCGCGACTGTTGTCCAGTTTTCGATCATATTTTTTGGAGTGTTTTTTTATATAAAAATATTAAATTTTTACGCGGAAGATGATTTTTTCCGAGGACTACTGTTTTAAAAAACGCGAGTTTCCGCGGAGATTTCACATCCCTGGTTTTTACTTGATGCTCTAGCATTCTTTGTAAATCAGGATTGTTGATACATGCCTTGTAGAGCTTGTCAATTTTCTCCTTTGACAGAGGCTCGCAATAGCTGCACCTTGACTTTTGTGTGCAGTTGCTTGCATGATAGACATCTAGGGTGAGGGTCACCAGGTATCTGGTGTTGCCCACAGCCTGAACAGACGGGTGTCTATCCTTGAGATGAAGATCTCATCCCACAAAACGTTTCTAACTAATCTTACTAGAACTTCCGATCTTCTTATACCCCCGTTCTCTGCTTGTAGAACTGCTCACTGCTTGTAGCCTATGAAGCTTGAGAAGATCTAATGTGCTTTGTAAGTGTGGAACTCAATCACGTGTACGGATGTGCAACAAAATATTTTCTAAGAATACCACCTCTATCACATCAGGAATTAATCCCTCCCACCTCCCCAAATATCTGCATCTAGTTGATGAGAGTAATGGGTTGAAAGAAGTGACTACATTCCCGCCTTGCGCATGCGTGGTGGCGCCCCTAGCAAGGGATAGGGTTTCCCTCACAACTATGGATATCTTGGCAGTGTGGTGGACGTCTGTTGAAAATTTATAAAAAATTTATAGTGTGGTTCTCAGCATAAACAGGAATTTATGGCACTGATGTGATAGAGGTGAGGTATTCACAAGAATTATGGTTGATATCTATCTCTTAGTTCCAGAGAAGAAGTCGCTTAAAGCAATATAGCCCAATTACCCCTATTTGGCCCCACCCCTCAGCCCCTTGGCAGGGGGGATGCCCCACCATTTGTACAATTTTCAATCCCCACCACCTAGAGATGCTTCCAGTCAAATTTAATTAATTTCCAATTTGTGGTTCAGAAGAATATTTCGTTTGAAAAAATTGTTGACGGACGCCCCAATATGGCATAAGCTCACCTTGGTCCTTCGGACCTGGTGAGCTAAAATTAGAAGCATGGGCAAAAGAAAAGGAAATGCAAATGTTTTTTTGAAGCATTAATGTAATTGCATGAGCAAAGATAAGAAAGACATCTGTATTTTAGTTTCAAATTATTTTAACACCCTTGGTGGTAAGATACATAAAGGTGAATTAAGTCAATTATCTTTAATATATTTCAGAAAAGTTGATCTGAGCATATAATATTTAACATGATCAATATCAGTCTACACAAAGTTAACATGTCAGGTAAGGCTAAAAAAAGAAGAAAAAAGTCTTGGTTCTCAGGCACCGCCCCATCATCACAAAGTCTGCTGCACGTTTCGTTTTCATTTCCATTTTCACACAACCCCGGCAGTGAAAAGATACAACACAAATCGACCCAACATAGCGTGCAGTTACTTCCCTTTAAATGCGCACTGCTTCACTGTCATGGTCATGGCGGCCATAAGAGTTTGTGTGCTTGTTTTGCAGTTTGCAAGTTTGCGAGACATGATGATTTACAAATTCGAATGGTATTTGTGTATTGTATGCCGGGCGTGTTTCAAATACAGAGATTAAGATTACGTGGTCTTTGTCTTGTAAAATAAGCTGGAAATAGCAATCAGCTGTCCACCCATTTTCTCCCCGATAAAAAAATACTTAATCTCATGGGCAATATCATAATTGAAATGAAATTTCATAGGAATTGAGAGGTATCTGTAATGACTAATGATCATTTCAAGTTGATGTGATTTGCCGATCACATCATACACGATTTAGCCAAAATTAATCTGAACAAAATTGAACTAAATCTTGGAGAAAAGTAATATTATAATGGATTACAAAAGTAAGTCCAGATTCACAACAAACACTTTCATTGCCAAATAGTGTAACAACGGGACTAACTTGCATACTTTGGTACAGATTTGTTGACATGATTCTTCTGGTGTTATATGCTCACAATAACGTCTTCTCATTGTGAAATAATATTAAAGTTCATTGTATGCATGTATTATGCGCACACTGGTAGTCCAATACTGTATTCCAGTATTTTACTCATCAAGGAATACATTACTGTAGGGAGGCCCTTTCCCACGTTGATTGTACACAACTGTTTATTTGGTTACATACTAGTCTGAACAGTTCCTCCTCCCTCCCCTCCCCCCTTCACCCCACTACACACACAAAAAGAGGCTGCTTGCCTGCACTATATTTTCAAAATTTTCCATTGCCTGAGAACCAATTCTTTTAATTTTTTATGCCTTAGCAAGCCTGTTGAGATCAGCTACATTACCATACAATAGGAGACTCCACAGCAGTCACCACTGAGCTCAACCCAAAAGCAGCTTGAAGATGATGCACTTCAAAAGTGTCATCCTGCTGCACTCACACATGTATCACATTAGAGCTATGTACAAATTTATCACAAGGAATCCTGTTCAGGTTGGACATACAACCACCATCTGAATAAAGTCAAGAAACCCAGCAGTCTTTCACACCTGACACAAACATCATTCCCAGTTGGTCATAATGACTAAAATAGAGGTGTTCCTTACTGATAAACACAGATGCTTTGCGAATATATGCATCTTCTAAAAGTTGGGGGTCATGCATGCTGGTTAGGATCCCAATATGTATTACAGGTAATTTGCTTTCAGCCATGTGACACTTATAAAAGAGATCAGTCCCACATGAGAACCACTAATGTTATTCCTTTAAATTTCTATTAACCAAAAGTTCAATCAAATCTTCATTTCCTATTCACATTTGTTCTTCATAATGATATTTGTGAAGCACTGTAAGCAAATCAACACATACACTGTTGTGCCAAGACATAACCGTCACCCTGCACATATATAGGACTGTGCCACTCATTCCAATTCAGTTATATCACAATGCAGGTTGTCTCATCTCTTCTGTGTTTACCAGTAGTTTCGCATAGGTTGTTAGTGACGGTGCTGTGTTTCTTATCCATGTCACCTGAAGGAGAACAGGATGATGATGATTGATGATGATGATGATTACGATCCTGGTGATTGCAAGGAAAGCTATAAGATAGGCTTGTCTATCACAGTAACCCCAGCGTAACTTCTGCCTGTCATCATGCTAGATGGTAGCAATGTCCATGTGTTAGACTTCGGGTCAAAGCATTCCACAGAACCCAAGTTAGAAGATCCATCATCACCACCAACTACAAACAACTGTCCACCATTGGCCACAACACCTGCAACATTACATTTAGTTTTAATTTTTTCTGGAAAGAACAAAAATTCTGGATGTATGGATTTGTAAAAAGTACTTCTGCTAATAACAAATGAGTATGACATTGAAAAGAGGAGTTATAACTTGTATACCAAATTCAAATAAAGACAGAACATTAATAAAAATCTTGAAACCAATAACTTTATTGAATGCACTCTATAAAATATAAGTACTTGTATTGCAAAGGATTTATTCCAGGAAGATCTATTTCAGAAAACACAAGGTTACATGACATTATCTTTGAATCCAAAAGACAAAATAAGCCAGGATTACTGATAGATTTTGAAAAAGGCGTTTGATGTGGTATCAAAACAATTTATAAATAAAGTTTTACAAAAATATGGATTTGGACCTGAAATGATAAGATGGATAAATTAATAACTTATGATACTACATCAAGCATAATACAAAATGGACATCTATCAGAATTTTTCACGAATGAGTGAGGCTGTTGACAAGGAGACCCATTGTTGCAATAGTTTTCCACCTAGTAGCTGGTGTATGATTAGGAGTAATAATAAAATTGAATGCAAACTTGGGAAGTATGATACTGAACTATTTTTTAATGGTAAAGATGAAAGCTTATATGTGGCTATAGAAACATTTAATAAATTCTGCGAAATGTCTGTCTTAAATATTGATGTAGACAAGACAAAAACTAAATGTATAGGCTCAAAAACAGATAGCAATGATCGATTATGTCAAGACTTACAAATAGAATGGCACAATAAGGAATATGAAGTATTAGGAATTATGTTTAATCCAAAAGTAATTGAACTCTGGGTAATCAATATAAAAGAAAGCTAGAAGAAGGAAATAGACAGCTGGCAAATTGGACAAAAAGAAATCTAACTTTAATAGGAAAAATTTCAGTCATAAAGACTTTAGCGTTGTCAAAACTAGTTCACATATTTTCAAGACTACCAAACCCTTCTGAGGATTTGTCTTATCACTTGACAAAATATTTTACAATTTTATCTGGAACAATAAAAAAGACAAAATCAAAAGGACCAGCTTGACAAGAAAATATGAGGAAGGTGGATTATGCATGAGCCTTTATTGACGCACAAAAACTATTATATTGTAAAAAACAACAACATTGGGTAGCCCTTGTAATATCCCAGTTTAAGATATCTAGAAGACATTTTGTCCCGACCATTATGGCTGAATCACAACTTCAAACAAGCAACATACTACATAAAGCAAGGGCTAATAATTGAATTTACTCCATTAAAGATATATGCAATGAAAACGGATTCATGTCATTTAAAGAACTGAAACTAAAATATCCGATACAAGGTACAATATTAGACTATAAATATATTTTCAATATACCAGACTCATGGAAAAGAACAATAAAGAAAACTAGAAAAATAATTTTACAGAATCTGTACCTAAATAGCTGCTAAAGTGATCTGATGAAACCTGTTAAGGCGCTACCATCTTTTATGATAAATTAATATCGACTGAATATAATCTTAAAGTTTGTGATAAATGGCAATCAATTTTTGACTGAGTTTAATTGGAATTTCTTTTTTTACTGCATATAGATGTGTGTGTTTGTTGTTTAACGCTGCATTCAGCAATATTCCAGCCATATGACGGCGGTGCGCAAATAAACAAGTCTGGACCAGACAATCCAGTGATTGACATCATGAGCATCAATCCACGCAATTGGGATACGATGACATGCATGAACCAAGTCAGTGAGCCTGACTGCCCGATCCCATTAGTCGCCTCTTACGACAAGCATGTCGCCTTTTACAGCAAGCATGGGTTGCTGAAGACCAGGACTTCAAGATTAGGGACAGTGATATCAATCGTATCATATTTCAGAGTATTTGTGATAAACATACCCAGACTCCTATGGGGAGGGCCCAATGTACTAGGCTAAACCTTCCCCTGACCAAGTTCAGCCTTCCCTGGGGAAGTATTTCTCAGTATAACCACCGCATTTAACGCATCAGATTCATATTTAAATGCAATTGACATGCTTTAGACGGTAAATATTGTGGAACAATCGCCAAGTTGATTTTGACAATGAAATCCAATCTCAAGCCCAGGAAAACTTTCCCAAGCAAAAGACATTCAAATGAACTCTGTTTTGACGTCTCAGGCATGAATCTCGCTCACTTGAGCAGCCTTCGCGAGAGCCAAGAGAAAGATTGTTTTCAATATCATGGGTTCAAACTCTTTCTCAACAAGTGGTTCGTAATCAGCTGAAGTGAGATGATGAAGTTGGGGGTAGAAAACAAAGATGTGGACAGGAAGGAGGAGGACATCATCACCTATATATAAAAAAATGGTCAAGAAAAAACAAACATAAAATCAAATCATAGATATTATTTTATATTTGTATACTTATCCTGCATTACTAGAAAGAGCTGTGTGAAGATCTTGCTTGAAGAAGTTGTTTCAACTAGCTGAGAGGCCAACCCTATCCCACAGCTCCCATGTGACCAAGGGAAGTGACATCAGGGATCTCTTTAGGATAAGTATGCAAGTATAAAAAATATCTAGGATTTTACTGTTTTTTTAACTTATCCTGCATTACTCCTTAATGCATCTTTATCCGACAGAATCGGTGGAGGGCATACCTTCAGATGTGAACTTTCAACTCAGAACTCAGTCAATCATGGACTGTGTGGTCAGCAGCAATCGACCAGTTTGTAGGCGGGAAAAAAGGAGTCGGGTATGCAGAGTGTCCAGGTACGATGCAGCCATAGACGATAAACGAGTCAAGGTTGTAACCTTCTATTCCAAGGCAATTGCTTGGGAGGTTGAGAGGCCGTCTCTGGACAGGAGGTGAGGTCAGTGGCGTCCTGCGGGGCCACTACTAACGGACTAAAACTGTGCATGCCTTGCACGTCCTCCAAGGCGAAAACTGTGTCAGATCGCAAGAAGCACCCCTCCATGATGTGTAACGCCAGTGGAGGCGACTGCCCGGATCTTATGCAGGTTGTTGGAGCCTGGTGGGTCCAATCGCAGGCCTTGTAGGCCTGGAGAATGATGGCTCATAGCCAGAGGGCGATGGTGTTACAGCTGACTTCTTCTTGCAAGGTAGCTGACACCAATACAAAGAGGCGTCATTGTTGTCTGCAGCGTTCCTTGGACTGACCAATCTAAGAACGCAATGCTCTCACCAGGCACAGGAGGAGTTCTTGTTCATCTTCCGCACCTACTATCGATCATAAGGGGGGAATGAGAAATGATCTATTGGGATGCCCTGGGAGTTGATTCTTGGCAATGAAGTCCCAGCACAGGCGCGTTTCTCAGCAGGGTGAGAACGATGTTCGAATCCCAAGCTTCTGTAGTTCAGCTGGAATGAGCGGAGCAAGGCCTGTAGTTCCGGATCTCCCGGAACGGCCAGTACAGAGTTGAGAGCCACAATGTTGGTCATGATGGTACTACCCTTGAGGCGAAGCTTGTGGTAGAGATAGAGTAGGAACTCTCAAAAGATAGCCACTTGTCAGCGTACAAGCTCCTTGTGGGTAGACAATGTGACTTCGTGATGGCCTTCACCACTCTGTCTGAGTATCCTTTAGTGTTTAACGCTGTCTGTAGATGGACCAGACATGTAGACATAACCTGTCAGGTCCCAGATGTGTCTGCCTGCTGTGGGGATGAATCAGCAGGTTTGGCCAGTCTGGAAGTGGTCGGCATCAGTTATTTCCCTGAGGTCGATGAACCAGGCCCTCGCAGGCCACCAGGGCGCGACCAAAGTCAGATCGAGGCTCAGCGTCGACTTGATCTTTTGGATTACCCTGGGAAGGAGTACAGGCGGTGGAAAAGCGTACACTTTTAGTCCTTCCCAGGCAACGCTGAAGGCGTCGCCCACCCAGGCCAGGGGATCCAGTACTGGCAATATGAATGTCAGTATCTGATGGTTTGGACTGGTGCCAAACAGGTTGATGTTGGGGTGACCGTGGTCCCGACAAACAAAAGTGAAGTTGTCTGGGTGGAGCTTCCACTCTGTGGAATTGGATCCCCAGGTTGAAGAAGCTGAACGTCTGTTGAAGGAGCGAGTGTGAGTGAGTCATTCCCTGGTTTCGGAGGCACCAGACGACGGATGGAGACCGATGGGTCCTGACGCCTGATGTAGGGAGCTAGGAATATCTGGAGTGGGCGCAGTTGGAGCCCTTCCTCTGTAGGTCAAGTCCTGTGCTGAGGTTAGGAGGCCCAGGAGGACTTGCCATTGAATGGAGTGTGTGTGGATGGTGGAGGGCTGGGACCAGGTGTAGTTGAATACGCGCCTACCGGTCCCTGGGTACAGAGAGTAGATTGAGGTTCTGTCTGAAAAAAAGCGCTGATGAACTGAAGGCGGAATGAGGGTGTCAACTCTGATTTCTTGAGGTTGATTTTCCATCCCAGTTGGTGGAAAAGACGCAGGGTGAAGACCCTGTGACAAAGTAGAGTGACCGTCGCAATGATTAAGGAGGCAGTTGTCTATGTAGGCCTCGAACAGAATATCCCGCAGTTGGAGGTACAAGACTATTGACTTGGTAAGGTGTGTGAATAGCCACGTGGCCAAAGAAATTTGAAATGGGAGGACCGCCCATTGGTAATGGACTCCCATAAAGATGAAGCGAAGGAATTTCGTCAGGGTGAATTGGGACATTGAGATGCTTCCTCGATATCCAGCGCATCGTGTGCCTGGATCCTGGTCACCCTGAAGTAAGGTAGACGCGCCAGGTAGCATTTGTTGAAAGCGGCAAGGTTGTGAATCATTCTGTTTTTGTTGTAGTCCTTCTTGGGAACAAGGAAGATGGGTGAGTAGCCTCTTTGGACAGCAGCGAAGTGATGTTTTGGTGTAGGAGAGAGGCAGGTCATCTATAAGTGTCAACTTGTACCCCTGACGGATGATGTTTGTAACATAGGGGTCCCCTAGGATCTCCAATTTTTTTCAGAATCGACCCAATTTCCCACCTACTGGAGTGTCACGACTCTGACGCTCTGACAACT